TTAGGGAAATAACTGAGAAAATCGATAACATAATAAAGTACCAATTTGTAATGAAGGCTTCAGAAACTGAAATGAAGAATAATTTACAGGGAATCAACAGTAGAGTAGAGGACGCTGAGAATCAAATCAGCAATTTGGAACATGAGGAAACAAAAAACACCCAACCAGAAGAGCAAAAAGAAAAAAGAATCCAGAAATATGAAGATAGTATAAGGAGCCTCTGGGACAACTTCAAGAGGCCCAACATTCGTATTATTGGGATGCCAGAAGGGGAAGAAAGAGAGCAAGAAATTGAAAACCAATTTGAAAAAGTAATTACAGAAAACTTCCCCCACCTGGGGAAAGAAATAGACTTACAAGTCCGGGAAGCACAGAGGGTCCCAAACAAGAGGAACCCAAAGAGGCCCACAGCAAGACACATCATAATTAAAATGCCAAAGGTTAAAGACAAAGAGAGAATCTTAAAAGCAGCAAGAGAAAAGCAGTTAGTTACCTACAAGGGAGCACCCATACGACTGTCAGCTGATTTCTCAACAGAAACCTTGCAGGCCAGAAGGGAGTGGCAAGAAATATTCAAAGTGATGAAAAACATGGAACTACAACCAAGATTGCTCTACCCAGCAAAGCTATCATTTAGAATTGAAGGTCAGATAAAGAGCTTCACAGATAAGAAAAAGCTAAAGAAGTTTATCACCACCAGACCAGCACTACAGGAAAAGTTGAAGGGTCTTCTTTAAGAAGAAGCTAATGAACAAAAGAATCTGATGAACTAAATAGATCCAGAGACACTGACGCATGCAACAGACGATCATATTTTAGAGGAAAGAGGGAAGGGGGGCGGAGAGTGGGAAGAGATTAACCAAAGAAGTTATATGCATATATGCATAACCCATGGACACAGTCAGTAACGGGGTGAAGTCTTGGGGAGGGAGTGGGAGCGAAGTGGAGGGAGTCAATTGGTGGGGGAAAATGGGACACCTGTAACACTCTCAACAATAAAGATAAATTTTTTTTTTAAATGACAATATTTTCAAGGAACAAAATATAAACTTTGTCACAGGAACAAAGAGTGATTACTTATGTGAAAATGTGAACTTGAATTTGAAGAACTTAATTTCAACTTATGAGCATTAATTTCTCTGATACTACTATCATGATACAGTCTTCAGCTTACCAAAAGAAACCCAATTTGGCCACCGTTTCCTCGAATTACATCACCCCAGCAATGCGGGATGCCCCTGCCATCACTACCTGAAAGCTGCAGGCTTGAATGAGCATGGTCTCCAAGGAGTGCACAGACCCCAGGGCACAGCATGCCCACCAAGCGAGTCAAAAGCTAGAGCTTCTACTTACTTCAATTTCTTCTGTAGTATAGGACTCAGAATTTGCAGCACGTGTTCTTAGAATACGAGTAGATAGATATAATTTATGAATAAATGCATGTGGATGTTCGCTCAAAATTTGTTTACTATATGGTACATACAGCAAGAAGTTTAGAAACCACTGGCGTAGACAATTAGGGCTTTCCAAAAATGTGTGGGTTTAAACGTTGAGAGACATGGAAGCACGGAGCAGACTGAAGAATCTCGGAGGGAAGGGGGTAGGGAGTTGGGAAGAGATTAACCAAAGAATTTATACGCATATATGCATAGCCCGTGGACAGAGACAATAGTGCAGAGAAGGCCTGGGGTGGGGGCGTAGCCGGGTGGAGAGGGGGAATGGGGGGAAAATGGGGGACATCTGTAATACTCTCAACAATAAAGATAAAATTTTTTTTAAAAAGCAGAGAAATAGCAAATTTATCAAAACCAGAAATAGCAAATTTATCAAAATCTTTAGGGACAGATATAAAAACCTAAACAGCATGTATTGTTTATGTAGGATAAATACGGTCTCATTTCTAAGCAACTCTCAAGGGAATATTGACGTGTAACTGGTTTGCAATTTGAAGACAGCACATGCCTGTTTTAAATTTTTAAACAGGGAATTTTTTCCTGACATTAAAGTTACAACCATAAATATTTCATTAATATAAAATTTTCTTTTGGTAAAACCAGCAATTATTTACTTCAGCGTATGTATAACTAATCATCAATATTCATAAAGACCTTTTATTGGAGCCAATAATGTGATGTTTTACACAAGACTGTGCAGCAAAAAAAAACAGGCAAGGGCAAACGCGGGCTCTGCGGGCCGCACTGCCTGGGACGCGGCCCAGCTGCACCAGGCAACCACATGAAGTAAGTGTTCTCGTAACAGCCACTCTCCTTAGCTGTTTCTTTTTTCATTTTCGTAAATAACATGACATCCCTTTAACACAGTCCACCCTATTACCGACTTTAGAAGAAAATGTTTCCGAAGCAAATTAAGTTATAAAAGTATCACAATATATTTCCTTTAATGCCGCTGCATGCTATAAATCCCTCTCTAGGACACAGAACAGATATCCAAATCTTAATTTTAAACGGCGTGATTCTCTACAGTTTGTCTTGCTATTGCACTAATATAAAAATCCAAATGAGCAAGGGCCTCTGACTCGGGGTTTGCATTCTGAGCTTGCGGGTGCCAGGCCCGGCCCTCGGATGATACAGACACGGAGGTGCAACCCCCCCCACGTCTCTCTCACGCGGCTCAGCCCTGTCTTCCTTCTTCACCATGGGGTTAGACTCAGTTCACAGACACCACGGGGAGTAAAGACAAAAGGAAGGTTCTCCACTTTCTATGCGAACCAGTATCATGATGCCCAGTAAAACTAAAAGAGCACAAAGAAACCAGGAAACTACGAAAGTCTAACAGTGATGTGATCGCCACAAACCGCAAGCGATGCGGCAAAGCAGGCCTTCCCCTACTCGCGCGGCGACAAGAAAGCACCAGGGACCGTCGGGACAAGGGCAGCCGGGAGCCTGACGTTTGACACGGGCCAAGCCGGCAGGTGAGACGATGCAGAAACCCCACGCCTCTCGGGGACGCCCTGAACTACGGTCGCCTCGCCCCCCTCACTTACTGCGCTCTGGCTGCCGTTTCTCCCAAGCCCTTCCTCGGAGGCCTTGCTCAGGTGATCCAAGCAGGGGTCTGAGATTGTGTGGCACAGGTCTTCAAAAGAATAATCCTTTTCTTGACACAGTTTTATTTCGTCCAAGAGTTTTGATAACTCTCCAGTCACAGTTTCACCTGTAAGAAGACAGTGAATGTTTTTTCGAAGTTTCAAGAAAGGCCACCGATAAAACGTCATGTTAAATAATAGAAATGTGACTAGTTATGGTAACATAACTAAAAACATGGCAAAGGAGATCAAGTACTCAGAAACTATTCTGCTGAAAACAGGAGAGTAAAGTATCATTAGTACAAGAATATTAAAAGACAAAGAGAAATTCTAATTTTGCCTCCAATTATTATTTTTCCAAACAAAAATAAGTATTCAAGGTTTACATATACATAGGACATAAAAGTATCTGAAATTACGATTCCTAAAGCTTCATTTGTTACAGCATTTAATCTGCCACAATCTTTTATCAGCATTACACTTCACTGACAGAATTCATTCAACAATTCATTAGCAAATTTAAAATGGTACTAGGATCCTACTTCCTAGGTTTAATAAGAAGAAACAGCAGAACATATTTAAACAGGTAATTATATAAGAAATTAATAAACTAGAATTATGACCTGGTATCAAGGGAAGACACAGAAGGAACAGATAAATAATATGCATCATCTGTCAAAACATGGATATTTTGTAGGTTGCATGCAAATATTCATTTTTCTAATCACTCTAAGAATGGTACTTTACACAGGTAATTTATTCTGGAAAAAAATTACAGCATTTACAATCCAGATACCAGTATTTTTATTCTGCATTAAAAACGCATTTTAGAAAAACATCTACTATGAAACATCCACTCCGTATAAACTTCATGACAGCTAGGGCTGCTCTCTACTCTGCTCACTACTGCATCTCAGGGCCAAGAGCAGTGCCTGACAAATAGCAAGCTCAATAAATGTTGGTTTATTAAACAGATAAAATATAGAGTATAAGATAGGACTTATTAGACTTGAAATTTTCACAAGGCTTAGGAATTTTGTACATATAGGACCCTCTTGTACTTAAAAGTCCAGTATCACTTCAGGGATTTTTTAATTAGCTACTCACTTTTGGTCTTTTGGGAAGGAGACTCAGGAGGAGACGAAATGTGTGTTTCTTGCGTTGTACCTTCCTGTACATGTGCTTCCAGGACTGTAGGTCTTCCCGTGCCTTCTAAGTATTCTGCATATGTAAGTTTTTAAAATCACATATTTAAATTCATTTATTTTAAAAATCTTTAACTAAACTTTAGGTGTTACCTCTCGTGATCATTTTTCATTTATTTCCTCATATCCTAAATATATTGCAAGTTTTTAAAAGAACATCATAAAACCAAAAAACCCAAAGAACTTCATGGTGAGCTATTAACGTAAAGCTTTTAATTAAAATAAAAAAGATATTTTTGGAAGACACTTTTGAATGCTTTTTTTGAAAACTAAACTCCATCCATTCTTTCCTTAAAAATAAATTCACCTGTTGAAAATACAATAGCATCCGTGGTTTCCTTAAATATATTCTACCTGAAGATTTAAAACTCTGAAAGATGCTTTGAACAGACTTGATCCCGAAACAGGAATGTCAAATTCAGACGGCTGCAGCGATCAGTGGAGTCGGGTAACATAAATGAATGAAGCGGAGTAAGCGTATGATATAATGGAGTGTCATCTTGTACTATACTCATGATGGCATATGGAACTTTATTCCCACAAAGAAATAATGTCCTTTTCCATTGTTCTTGAAGCAATGTCCCACACTCGGTCTCTCTCTCATTTTTCCAACTTTGATGAAGGCATAACAGTAACAGCAGCTAAAATGTAAATTCTGCTTGCTACGCACCCAGCAGGGTTCCAAGTATTTCACATAAGTTAACTCACTCAATCCTCACAAAACTAGGACACAGGCACCATCTCCGTCGTAAAGATGACAACGAGAGGAGAACGACTTTAACTTGGCGACGTTCACTCAGCTAGTAAGTGGCAGAGCCCAGCAGACACGGGGCAGGAGGACATCTCGCTCCCAAGCATCAAGAAACAGCGCCCAGCCCCGGGCGCGGGGACAAACGTCCACTCGTGCCCAGCTCAACGTCATGAAAGGACAGAAGGCGCACGGACCCCGAGTCACCAGAGAGCAGGGCCCACATCCAGGGCTGGGCAGTGAAGGAAAGCGAAAGCCTGCATTTTTTTGAGAAACCAAAACGCTGGAGTTTCAACTGAAATTGTAGATTTTTAAATGCTGAAAGCGAACTTGATTTTGTTTTAATGGCAACAGTGTGGTGTGGGCCAAAACTATGTGACCTAAACATGACCTGTCTGCTACCTGCCCCATGAAATCAACAGACCCCTTCCCATGGGGATCTTTTACTTGCATTTCTTTATTCAAAAGGAACCTTTTTCTAAAAAAACAAAAAAAAAGCCAGTTAAGGAAGGTTGTGCTCTCCTGCCAACCACTTCTGTTCTCATTCCATCCAAAGGGCTTTTACCTAAGGGCAATTCTAGGCAAAGAAAGCAACCTACGGGCTCCCAGCTTTAAAAGCTTTGACCCCTGCAGCAATTATGTAAATTGAATTCCTCCAAAGGACACAAACAGTAATTTTATCTACTATAAATCGGCTTTATTGCTATAATAAACTTTTTCATAAGATTTAAAATGCACCAGTGACTTGAAATCCAGGAATGTAAAGAACAGAGAGAACGTGTTCATATTCTAAAATTTTCAGATAATTTTAAAAATTCAAAGATGTCCCATATACCCTATCACACTTTGGCATACCTAATGAATCTTGATCATTTAAAAGAACACAGTTATTCCTCTACAATAACATTTTTATCTAAGTTGAACTAATGCAGCATCTTATAAAAAATGTCTGTAATTCTGTCATGCTCCCTTTTTAGTGGTATTTATTTTGCTTCTTCCAAAAGACACTATGCGCAAGCCTCAGTTGTGTGTGTTTTTTTTGGGGGGGGGGTTGTTTTTTGTTTTTTGAAAGTTCAGTTAGAGGCCAAAATCCAGTAGGAAACAGAAAGTGCCTAGAGAGGAAAGACATAAAAATGATGCATACTACTTTTATGTTTTAGCTTTGATTCAACTTGATTTTAATTCGACTTGATATAAAGAGCCACTCTTGTATTCTTCTCTGATTTATCTCTATCAGCACTTGACTTAAAATTAACTTCTTTATTGACAAGAAAATTGTAGAGGCCTGAACTTCCCTGAGAGGTTTTGGAAATTCAGAGAGAAGAGAGCATAATGACCTCCTGCAGTGGATCCACCCTCTTTACCCCTTTTTGGCCCTTGTTGACTCCTAGATCTACGTATCTCCGGCCCAGTCGGTTTTAATTCACTTATCTCCCTGCAGGACAAAGCTGTTTTCAGCTTCCCAACTGATAATCCAATGAAACCCATCCCGCCTCCCTCCTCAATTACACTTGCAGCCAATCTGTAACAATTATAGGGGATAATTGCCGCTGAACGGTGTCTGAGCTAACGGGAATGGAGGGAAAAAGCGGCTGGGTTTTTAAGGAAACATGTACATGCCAGGCCTAATCACCAAGCAGAAAGGGAAAGCATCTAAATCTAGATTTTTCATATAAGTTTTAGGCCAGGCATGGCTCAGCGGTTGAGTGTAAACCTAGGATCCAGGAGATCAAGGTTCAATTCCCGGTCAGGGCACATGCCCGGGTTTTGGGCTCGATCCCCAGACAGGGCGTGCGGGAGGCAGCCGATCAATGACTCTCTCATCATTGATGTTTCTGTCTCTCTCTCCCTCTCCTTCCCTCTCTCTGAATTCAATAAAGATATATTATTTTTTTTTAAAGTTTTAGGTCAAATGGGGAAGTATGCAATCCTGCAAGCAAAATAGCAGTGCCTAACTGGTTGTCAAACCTTCAGTATACCTAACAACTGCAACTGACTACAGAGGTACTTAAATGGCCTTTATCAAAACAGAGCTGGAGAGACTGAACTATTGGCACTACTGGGTTGGGGAGCAGATAATCTAAGTGCAGTTTCATTGCTGTTAACCCAGCATTGATGTACCAGCTCTACCACTTTGAATAGGATATATGCGTTTGAGCAAGTCAGATGCTCAGAGCTTCAGAATAATGCCATCTGACTTACCTACCTCACAGAGCTTTAGAAATAATACAAAATAACTGAAATCTCTTAAGAATTATTCAAATGTAAGAGAATACCTAATCATCACTTCATAGCCTTCTTACTTTCAAGTTCATAACTGCATATTTAATACCCGTGTTTAAGAAAGACTAATACCAAGTGCATCAAAAAATATATTCGCTTTTCTTAAAATACCGAGTAGTTGAAAAACAAAAATAAAACATTACAAAGTATTTTATTTAGTTTTAAAGTCTACCAGAAAAAAAATGCAAAAAGTTCATTCAAAGTAAACATTAACTCAAACCCCAAGGGAAAAGTAGAACGGGTTTTAATTTAATCTTAACTCTAAGGCAAACTCATCCATCATTCAATATTGTTTACCTTGTAAGAGTGTTGCAATCTGGAGAGATTTCTGAGATGGATGTTCTTTCAGAATGTCTAAGACAGTTCTACCTAAGCTATCCTTTATGTTGGCATCAATTCCTGAAAGAAAAAGAAAACCCCAGTAGATGGAGTGGCCCAGAAGAAACTGTTAATATACAACTGCTCTAACCTCAAACATATACAGACTAAACACTTTTAAAAAGTCATTTTTAAAAAATTAAGTTATGTGTGCACACGCACACATGAAAGATTTTAGTAAAACAGAAGGTGGGGGTCCACTGCCACCAAATACTAGAAATAATTGATAATGAATTAACTCTTAAGAATGTTTTTTAGGATTATAGCTATTTTAAGTTGTAAATTAAACAGTGCAAGCTGAAAATATTGATTTAGAATGTGAATTCCTAAAGTCAAATGGTCATGTGATTTACATATTCTATATGTCATAAAAATATTTTTCAAATTATAATAATGTACCATGTGAGTCGTATAGGAGCAGTCTTAAAATACTTGAATATGCACGAAAGTTGAAAAACCATGATTACTTTCAACTCTTATCTAATACTAAAGTCAGCCCCAGCTCGTTTGGCTCAGTGGTTAGAGCATCAGCCTGCAGACTGAGGGGTCCCGCGTTTGATTCCTATAAAGACAAATAAACCTACTTTGTTCCTTCAAAGCAGTCCCCCTAAAAGGTTCCCTTTAAATCACTGCCACTGACAGACGATAGCAACTCAGCTGATGAAATAACCAGGAAGGAGAGTCTGCCTTAAGAATAGGGAGCTCTAATTTCTGGTTACCATGGTTCACAATATGAAAAGCTAGGGAAATACGTTCTTTAATAAACAAAGCAATTGTTTTGTTTTCTTCACAGGGATCAGTGCCTTCCTCTTGCAGATGGCAGAGATTTCCTTTTCCTTTTGGAAGTTTCTCTAGAATATTTTAATATGATTTAAATGTATAAAACTATAATTTTCAAGAGCCTTTTACCAAAACATCTCTTGAGTGAAAGAAGGTGCACATTTATATCAATTTTACCTAAACACTGAGGCTCATTTCAACATGATATGAATATATTATAGCAATTTGGAGAAGAGATAAGAGGTAAAGGTGATTATGTAAAAAACAAAAACACCCCCCACCCCCAAAAAAGGACCAAACGGTGTCATTTTCCTTTACTCCTGAAACAAAAATAGTATTTGGCAGAGTACACGCCATGGGGAATCATGATAGTTACCCGTTTCTAACAGAACTCTCACAACATCCACCTTTCCAAACAAAGCTGCTTCATGAAGTGCACTCCCCTTTTCTGTCTGGAAAAAAAACAAATGAATAAATGAGAAAGAGAAGCACAGCTGCATTAGGAATGATCACAGGTTAAAAATCCTGTCATTTGATAGATTCATACATATTCACTCCTCGAGAGAGGGATGGTGTAGAATAAAGGAGACATTCCAGTCTCACTCATTACCCCAGGCAACATCCAGCCAATCCCTGCCACAGAATCACTTAAGTGACTTACAACTGACCCCAGACACATGAGGGAACCCAGCTAAGATGGAAGAACTACCCAGCTAAGCTCACACTAAATCACCAACCCCAGGATCTTGAGCTAACTACACAGTTATTATGGGAAGCTATTACGTTTTGGGGTAGTTTGTTATGCAGCAATAGCTTACTAGTACACATAGGGGAGAAGGTCACAATCTGAAACAAACCAAAAGAGTCTCTGGCAGATAAGAATGCTGCCACGGACTTGGGAGCCAAAAAAAGTCAGAAAAGGATAAAATAGTTTTTAAAAAACTTTTGGCTAACTTGGGACAGATAGTAAAAGCAGGTTGCCCTTTCCTTGTGGAGAAACAAAATCTATCCTAATGTTGTCCATCCTTCAAAGCTCAACTCAAACTAATGCGTCTCCGATAAACTTTTTTCTGATAGCCCTTTGTTACAGTGATCTTTCCTTCATTAGTCACGTATATACAGCACATTATTGTGGAGAGAGGCCTGGACTTTAATCAGTAAATCTAAATTCATATTCTGGGTTTATCAGGTATATGTCCTTTGGCACATTTCTTAAATCTTTGAATCTGATTGCTCATCTCTTAACTGGAACTTAATAGCTCTCAAGTCCATAGGACAGTTGTGAGAATTAAGATTCTAAATATGTCGACATATTAAACATAGAGTACATACTCGAATTGTTCAAGTGAATTTTGTTTCATTCATTCATTCGTTCACTCACTCATTCAACTTTGACTGGATTCCTAGTGTGTGGTAGGTTCTGGAATAAAGGAAACAACGACTAATGATATCACACACAACTGCCCTCTAGTAATAATTTTTCGTGTGCACAGCCCCCTACCTGGAATGAGGTCAGAGATTATGCCTTACATCTCTACATATTTCCCAACAGTGTGTGACAGGGTGCCTTGAATTTAGCAGTTACAAAAATACTTGTGGAGCCCGGCCGGGCGTGGCTCAGCGGTTCAGCATCGACCTAGGATCCAGGCGATCAGGGTTCGATTCCAGGTCAGGGCACATGCCCGGGTTGCGGGCTGCAGCCAATCAATGACTCTCTCATCATTGATGTTTCTGTCTCTCTCTCTCCCTCTCCTCTCCTCTCTCTGAAATCAATAAAGATATATATTTTTTAAAAAAAAAACAACAAAAATACTTGTGGATCATTGGGCTAATCAAAAACTGGTAAGATTTCTACATATAACTTTTCATATCTGTACTCAAAGCAAAGCAACGTCCTTTCACAGCACAGCCGAGAGCAGGCCCACCTGACAGCTCACGTCCATGCCCGCTTCCAGCAGCACCTGCACGACCGCCTTGTGCCCGTTGCGGGCGGCCAGGTGCAGCGGCGTGTGCTTGCGAGTGTTGCAGCTCATCAGGTTGGGGTGCGCGCTGATGATCATCTTGACCACCCTCAGGCGCCCGTAAAGTGCCGCCAGGTCCAAAGGCGTTTCGAGCTTGCTGTTCCTGATGGTGGGGTCGGTGAGCTCGTCCAGGAGGACAGCGACGACCTCCGAGTGTCCGTACTGAGCTGCACAGTGCAGGGCCGTTTCGTTTTCATTGTTCTGTTAACACAGACACGTAAAATGCAAGTTTTCAGAAATTCAGTGAGGTGTCAAAACGTAAACTCAGTCATTTAAAACCTGAGATGCTTTGAAAATATGTTAAGATTTCTCTATTTTGGTAAGTATTCCTAATAGAATTTTATATCTGATAAAAGTGTGTGTCATTTATTGCATCAAAAGTATTACATTTGATTTTTATTTCTTCAATAGGAAAAAATCTAACTTTTCCCCACATTATTTATTCCAGTTTCCAAGAGTGATAAATGATTTAGCCATGTAGTCAGTGGCCCTGCTGGGCCCAGATGGTCAGTGTGCATCACCCCTCCATGATATTTGTTCATGAGAGAGATTAATAACAATTACAACACACTTTCGACAGGCTGGCTTTCCAAAAAACAAATGACTTGGTAAATTCTTTTTTTTTTTAGGTACACTGATGCAATCTCAATGTGGCTTCTTCTTTATGTCCTTAGTTATAGGACTTCTGTTTAGCTAGTCTTCAGATGGTTCCCCAGCTTGACTGTTCTANAAAACAACAAAAATACTTGTGGATCATTGGGCTAATCAAAAACTGGTAAGATTTCTACATATAACTTTTCATATCTGTACTCAAAGCAAAGCAACGTCCTTTCACAGCACAGCCGAGAGCAGGCCCACCTGACAGCTCACGTCCATGCCCGCTTCCAGCAGCACCTGCACGACCGCCTTGTGCCCGTTGCGGGCGGCCAGGTGCAGCGGCGTGTGCTTGCGAGTGTTGCAGCTCATCAGGTTGGGGTGCGCGCTGATGATCATCTTGACCACCCTCAGGCGCCCGTAAAGTGCCGCCAGGTCCAAAGGCGTTTCGAGCTTGCTGTTCCTGATGGTGGGGTCGGTGAGCTCGTCCAGGAGGACAGCGACGACCTCCGAGTGTCCGTACTGAGCCGCACAGTGCAGGGCCGTTTCGTTTTCATTGTTCTGTTAACACAGACACGTAAAATGCAAGTTTTCAGAAATTCAGTGAGGTGTCAAAACGTAAACTCAGTCATTTAAAACCTGAGATGCTTTGAAAATATGTTAAGATTTCTCTATTTTGGTAAGTATTCCTAATAGAATTTTATATCTGATAAAAGTGTGTGTCATTTATTGCATCAAAAGTATTACATTTGATTTTTATTTCTTCAATAGGAAAAAATCTAACTTTTCCCCACATTATTTATTCCAGTTTCCAAGAGTGATAAATGATTTAGCCATGTAGTCAGTGGCCCTGCTGGGCCCAGATGGTCAGTGTGCATCACCCCTCCATGATATTTGTTCATGAGAGAGATTAATAACAATTACAACACACTTTCGACAGGCTGGCTTTCCAAAAAACAAATGACTTGGTAAATTCTTTTTTTTTTTAGGTACACTGATGCAATCTCAATGTGGCTTCTTCTTTATGTCCTTAGTTATAGGACTTCTGTTTAGCTAGTCTTCAGATGGTTCCCCAGCTTGACTGTTCTATAATTTAGTTGTAATTTTGCTGTGGTCACAGGAGGAGGAGAGCACAGTGTTCACCTGCTCTGCTGTCTTGACTGGTGTCCCCCACTAATTAGGAAATTCTTGATAATAAAAGATTTACAGAGAGGTCTCCAAAATTAAGTTTCATTTTATTTTCCATGTAAGTAAGAGAACAAAGACATACTGATACCCTTATATGAAACCAAATAGAAACCAAAACACCAAGTAATAGGAGAGAAAAAAGAATCTCCTTAAAAAAGGCTTTTTTAATATTTCAGTTGAATCTGTTTATCACACAAAACAAGTGTTTTTCTTTAAAACATAGGCTTACAGTCATATGCCATTTGAAATCATCAAGTTTCAAATATAAATGAATTCTAGGTGTTTGTTTCTTTCTTATTTTCATGTCATTTAAAAAATAAAAATATTTTTATTTTGTAAAAACTAATATCCTTCTGCTTAACCTTGGATAATTGTTCCATCTTACTGTTTCAGGTTTGCTTTGGGGCATTCGGGCAGTTTTAAGAGTGACCACCAGATGGCTCATACCACAAATGATCTTTTAATTTGGTTTTCTGTAGAAGAGACCAGCATTCTCATAAATTTCCTTTTAGCATGATACGCTGATAAAGATAGCCATATCTGTCATTTCTTTAAAGATCAAGTTTATAAGCGTACTCTCACAAAAAGTATTCTGCATTTAGTAACCTGTAAACACAGACATTTTTTAATTATATTTTTTAATTGTTGAAAGTATTACAGATGTCTCCCATTTTCTCCCTTTTTGCCCCCCTCCACCCA